ATGTTAAATTCTGACTGCTTGTAGCATTGCACTTGAAAAATTTGAGCATCAAATAATAGTATCACTCTAGTAAAGCAGCAGAAGGTTTTTGTACAGAATGATGAATTATGTCCAATATTTAAAATGAGTCTCTTTCATTACTCGTGTCTCTCTTCACTCTGAAATTCTTTTTTTCCCCCCTATTTCTGTCATTGAGGTAAAGACAGGGACTCTACTCGTGTCTTGGAAAGTGATTGCACGATTCAGTGGCATTGCACATGAAGGAGCAGTAACTGAGAGGAATTCCTGTGCCAGATCAGACTAATGGTGCACACAGTTCAGCACCTTTTCTCCCAGAATCAGACAGTTCTAGCTCCCTGTGCATCTGCATCTGATGGGTTTGCACTTCAGCATTTAGAGACCTGCAGCCAGCACTGTGACAGTCCCTCCGAAGTGTCTGTCATTCCAGGGAAATACAGAAGAGGTTTTTCCACAGAAACAGGCATTTCTCACACCTCTGGGGCACCGTGAGCCTGATGCACTCACTGGGTTGCTGCTGGCTGCTCACACACACCTTGCCTCAGGTGTTGTACCTCAGTTTTGTACCTCAGGCTCTCGGTGCTACCACTCCTCACTTTAATCAGCTCCCAGGGCACCCCAGAAATTCTGGGCATCTAAAAGGCTTCCTCCTTTGTTTCTTCACATCACACATTTTGAGCTTGTTGATGCATCCCAACCTTTTTTGGTAGAATCATGGGCTGTAGCTGCCAGCTACATTGTTCTGCTGGAGTTTGGAAATACGGTTAGATCTTAATTAAAGGAACTGTTAATGCCTCCTGGTTTTAAAGAGATGTCTAACATGTAGAATAGAACAAAAATCAAACTGGAGAAGACAAAAACGCAGCTGTGGTCACGCAAGACATCATAAGCACTTTTTGGTGGTGTAAGCTCAGAGGTGGCACTTTGTGAAGACTGCCTCTCTTTCATGCCTGGCCTGAGGTAAAGAATGAGGTGTTCTGCACCACGGGGCTCCAGCCCTGCCTTTAAATGTGTGGCAGACGCTGCTGTTGCCAGTTCTGCAGGGAAAGCCAGAGTGTGTGTAGGTGTGACTGAGGGGGGAAATTTCATTTCAAGGGCTCATCTCTGAACAGTTCTATAAGCTAAGCAATGTGAATCTAATATTATAATTCCAAGGGGACTCTGATGCTGTGTGGTAAAATTGCTTATTAAATTACAATCACAAAAAAAAAAATCAGGAGATAGGCACTGTTCAGCTGGCAGCATACAGGGAAAAAAAGGCTGAATTCTAATTATTTGAACAGTGGAGTTAGTGTTATTTCACTGTGTGAAAACAAAATTAGGTTATCACTGATATCATTATTAATGTATGAGATGAAGCAGAAAAACAATTTGTTTCCTAACACCCTTTCTGCCCCTCCTCCCCACCCCCAGCCTCCCACCCCAAAAAAAAAGAGAGAATAACCTAAAAGCAAAAAGGGCTTTCTAATGCAGGCGTCTCTGAGAGATCTCACTGCTGTAGCAGCAAAATGTAGGTGATTTATAAATTATCTTAATTTGAAGGTGAGGCATTGTGCAAACAGTAAGTATTACATTTATTATTTCCCTGGTTAGATTAAAATATAAAAAGGCAGATCCAATATCAGTAACACTGTTTATTACTCTAATCAGAAACAGGAAATATATTTTCAGCCACTCTAAACCTTAGATGTTCTTTTATTATGCATGAGCAGCTATTACTGCTGTTCAGTCATACATGTTCCTTAAGGTACTCATATTGCAATCTCCACCTTTTGAATGGCTTTCAAATAAATAAAACAACTTTTTTGTATAAAATTATATTCTGCAACCATAATTAAGTGTTGAAATTCACATTTTCATGAATATAGCAACTTCACACGAGATTAATCCATTGTAAAAATTTTAGAGGTTTTTAGAGGCAGCACGTAAGTGTTTTATTTTACATTACAGCTCTGAACACATCTTATGCCCTTGAATGCAAACTGCCTTGAATTTTATTAAGATTCTGTTCTTCATTCTCATTTTCACACTCAATGAGCCGCTACTGTTTCAGTCCAAAAGGGATCAGTCAGTGAAGCTGTGTCATGAAAGTAGTTATAGAGTATGATAAGATTCTTTAAAACTCATTTTTATTTAGCCAGGAGTCACAAATCTAGCTGCAAACACTGCTCAAGATGTGCCGTCTCTTTTGAGTGTAATTTGAGAATACAAAATCAGATTTAAGAAAAGGATACAGTGTAAGGATAGTTTTCCTGTTATATCATCCATACTATGTTAATATATACATTAAAAGTAAAACGTATAAATATCCAGATTCCTTTGATTCACTTGTAAAATTTTGTCTTTTACCTACAACTAGATATTTAATTATTAACATAAGAATTTCATTAAAATTCAAAAAATAATAAATTATTAATAAAATTCTCCAAAACAGGAATCTTTCTGAGGATAGAATTAAACAAGTTTAGTGATAAAATTTTTGTAGGTAAAGAACTAAACCCAATCCGGTAGAAAGGACAAGGCCCATAACTCTGACTATTTTTCAAGTATCTTTTACAGTTAGTCCCTAAAACTCTCTGTTTTTCAGATGCATCTTTTTGGTTTGTGTAAGGTACACATTTGTGGCACTGAATAGCTGTTTTTTCCACTACCTCAGGGAGCCTGGCCTTGCATATTCCAGGAAAAGACCACTGAAACCAGACTGGGCAAGCAAACACCTGGTGCTCATAACCAATTTCTTTAGAAGGTATAAATAAATATTTCCTGGAAAAGAGACAAGAAACCAGCATGGCCTTTGCTTGGAGAATATCCTGTTACAACTCTCTTTTTTCCCCCAGTTTCTTCATTCACATTCCCAAAAAAGCATTCTTTATTGCTTCTCAAGTGGAACAGCTGTACCAGGAGGGGACCAAGAGCATCACACACAGCAACGCTGGTGAGGGCAGGTGGCAGCAGGTGAGGCACAAAGTCTTCTGCATCTCTGATGTGCCAGATGAGTGATCTGATTACCAGGATAATGAATAAATAAAAGGCAGATAGTGCAGGTATTTGGGCAAAAATACAAAAAATACCTTATTAGTGCTTAGATCAGTGAGTAATTTAGCACATGTGAGGAAGCAAAGGCTTTGAACAAGCAGCTCCAAAAGATGTAAAAATGTCCAAAGGACATCTTGGCCATTGTCATAGAACATAAATGTTAACCATGCATTTTCCATCAGCAAGGAGAGCGTGGCTGAGTGTCACATCCCCACAGACACAGAGCCTGGATTTGGAACAATTTATTGGTAGAACAAACAGCTTCTCAACTAGCCAAAGTCAGGCCTCAACAAGTCTCAGATAATTTTTTATACATTCAAAGCAAATTAGCAGAGATTTACATACTTGTTTTTAACTGTGGCTTCTCTTCATTGCCAAATGGATGTTCTAGTTCATTTCCTCTTTTGTTTCAGTCAGAAATACAATTATAACACTGAGCAGAATCTATTACTGCTTGTTGAAAGCAACTACTGCTGAGTGAGCTCAGCTCTACTGACTGCCTCCTTCTACCATCTAGTGGCACCTTCACTATACTGCTTTTCTCTCTCCAAAGAGTTCAGTGAGAACGATAATAAATGTACACTCTTGAAAAGCAAAAAAATATCCTTTGAAAATGAGCAATGTACCTGGAGAGGAAATACCTTTTTTTCCCTCAGATGGAAAAGTAGTTTTCACACAGAAACTATTTATAAGAGAGCAGAAAGGATTCAGTGGTGCAAATTACTAATGTCAGAGAAAAATACTGCATCCTATGGTCTTGTAAACAGTAAGTTAGGCTTGTTGATTGATTTCTTACTTTTTTGTTGTTGTTGGGAGAGCTTGGATTTTAAGTTGTAGGCTGCAGAATGACATTGTTGAATATCCCAAGGAAATGCTTATATAGAAGCACACTTCTTTGTTTTCTACCTGAATATTTTAAGGGCACAACAAAAATTAAAAGCTATCACCAAATGTAATGCTTCAAAAGCATATAGAACACATATAGTTTCTTTCCTGATTATACAATTTTATTAAGAGCTTTCAGTGCTCCATTTTGCAATAGATGTTTCTGTTTCATTTAGGGGAAAAGCTTAAATGTCAGTGAACTAGGAATTTAAGGCTTGGGATGTTTTCAATCAAAATGCATGTTCTGATTATTTATATGACTGAATAAACATTAATCATCTCAAATGCATTCTGCTCTTTGAACTGGGTTGCTTTCACAGAGGCAGGTATTGGTGAATTAGACTACATATGAAATCTTTTTTCTTTTTTTTTTTTTTCAAATTCCGTTTAAAAGACATATGTCTTCCTTCTCACTTGCAGCAAATCGACAAGGCAACTTGATGGAAGTCAGAATCCAATTTGTTTGGATTTTTTTCCTTTTCTTTTAAAACATATGTTATTCTGTATCCTAATCATCTTGACAAGTTTTCAACCTGTTTCCAGGGTGGAAAGATCCCCATCAGGTGGACTGCTCCTGAAGCCATCGCTTACCGCAAGTTCTCCTCAGCCAGCGACGCCTGGAGCTACGGAATTGTCATGTGGGAGGTGATGTCCTACGGAGAGAGGCCGTACTGGGAGATGTCCAACCAGGATGTGAGTGTTGCATTCATCTGCATCTTTTTCAAATGTGCTTTAAAAGTTACTGCCACTCCCTGCCCTGCTTTGCTGTCTCGTTCTCTTTCTAGGCTGGAATCTCAATTTTAAAAAAGAACAAATTTTCTTCTAGTCTAATTGAAAGCTTGTTCTATAAAGAGAAATATGGGAAGGGGGAAATGGTGGGTTTTTTTTTTTTCTCTAGCACAATTTAAATTTTCACAATTTCTCTTGTTTGATGGATCTCTGTGGCAGCTCAAACTGCTACATTCAGTCTTCACAGCAACCATCAAGCTCTGTGTAAAAATGTGGAATATCAGCCAAGCCAGCTTAACCTCTCTCATATATGTGCCTAGAATATTCCTGCATTGGTTCTGAAGAATTGACAAGACTTTCCCAGATGGCTGTTTTTACATTGTTGCTAAGTTATTCAGCTGTTCAAGTCTGGTTGCTTGTTAAGGCTGATCGGTCATTTGGGGATAAGGATCTGAAAGAGATTTTAATTTTTAAAAACAATTTCACTGTTTCAGGAAGAAAAGGAAATAACCAAACCTGTCAGAAACAAATAAAAGACTATCACAAACCTCTCCATTTAGAATATATTAAATCATCAGCTACAGCATGAAGATAGCAACATTTAATTACTCCTACATCCAAAATAGAAGTGTCTGCTAATACAAAATGATGCTGAAGGCCCTAATGATGCCAGTTGCTGGGGGCTTTCCCTGAAGTTCAGCAGCTCCCAGCACAAAGGACTCCTTTTCTCCTACCCAGAGGATTTCAGTGCCAGAATGTGAGCAGTGAGCATCTGTGACCTTCTACATATGTTTAGTGACTTCAATTGTCATTGGGAAATTCCAAATTATTAGACATAATGTAAAGTTTATTTTACTGATATTGGGACCATTCTTTTAGTACAGTAAACTACTGTGAATTCACATGAGCTTATTTTGTAGAAATAATAGGACTTTCAAAGGTCAGTGGTACTGTACAGATGGCAGGGAAAACAACAGAGAGGGATGTGCCCTAAACAGATTCATAAAAGACACAGGATGCAAACAACAGTTAATAAGGTCTTGCATGGGTATAGTCAGAGGCTCTGCTACATTAGGATGTCTACTGACATTACCATTAAGACACTTACTGAGTTTTGATCATAATAAAGCCCTTCTCTAAGTAGCAATTAAAATATTTATTGGATTGGGTGAATTTTGGTAGATCACCAGAAGTTTTCCAGATATAAACTCTGCAGAACTGGGTCTGTTTGTGGTTTTTTTTCCTCATTCCATCTTAAACAAAGTGCTTTTCTAATTATATAATTTTGAGATATGAATTCACTTTTTTAGAGCATGGCTAAGTAAGTGATGAACACAGCTGATGAGAGAAGTTTTAAACTGGTACATGCCACCTAAATAAACCTGGTGTTTATTTAGGTGGCATGTACCTGAACAGTCTGGTGTTCAAAGACAACTGCTTACAGGTATCCAGAATGACTCAACACCTCTGCAAATCCAGCATCCTCTATTTATATTCCCCAGCAAGGATTTGGAAACTGAACTTAAGGAAACAGAGTTGCAGACTGTTTCTCATAAAATTAATACTGTGTGTGGCATAATGCAGAGGCTTAAAAATGTTGCTAAGTTAGAGAACTGCTCTTGTTTAAGTAAATAACCATTTTATTATTGTGGTAAGTCACTTCCAAACTGTGTTGGTACTGATTAATGCACTTCTTAGATGTGTGGCAGGCACCAGAGGTGTCCATTAATTAGGGCTGCTGCACAGTCTGTCGTGTCTTATTGCTTAATTAATAAACATTAGCCAAGATATTGAACTTTCCAAGGAAACTAGTGTACTGATGAACAGATTGTGCTAAGAGTCTGGCTTGCTAATGCTCATGTGAGAGAAGGAAGATTTATATTCCATGCATTTGGTTTGTAGAACAGCTGTGAGTGAAGTCTACTGGGACACCTGTTAGAGGCCACCATATAAATTAATGCATGTTGCAGAACTGCAGTATTCAAAAAGAAGGAAAAAAATGAAAAGAATATTTAATGGGTTGTAATTGGTATGCAAGGAAACTACTGTAGCAAACAGAATAAAACTCCTTACACTCCTGAAAGTTTCTTGAAATATTGAAAAAAACCAACTTATCCTAATATAGGTCTTTCAACTCACAGATATCAAAACACTTGGCTCTGTACCATGAGGCAGCAGCAGCTGCCTCTCCCTCCTGGTAGATTTTTCAGATGTCAGGAGGACACAGGGATAATGTCCCTCTGGACTCACTTCTGTCTCAGTCTCATTAAAAAAGCTGTCAGTTAACTTTTGAAAGCAAGAATCCCTGTTACTATTAATAATGAAACTATCAGGAAGATTACAGCTTCATTTTCAGATGTCATTTTTGCCAGTTGCCAATTATTTTGAAATGGCATACATATAAATTTTGTGTAGAAGTCCATAAAATATTGCTCAGACAATCATAAACAAATAAATATGTAATATTTACTCTGTTAATATTCAAACGTCACAGCTATGTCTAACATCAAACAAGCTGTTGCTGCACCCTTCCTGTAGATGCAGATTTCATTATTGATGTGGTGCTTTGTCAGCCTTAAACTGACAAGGGAAAAAGGCATTGAGAGGAGTTAACATATAAAAGCTTAACATATTTCATAATATAAAATTTTCTATTACTAAGAGAAACTTAATACTTCTTCCCTTTTAGGTACATGGATATCTGATTTCTCTGAACAGAGAGATATGGGTGCTATGCATATGGTAGAGCAAGAGCTAAAATAAATATATAAATAAATAAGGAACTAAAATGCTCTAATTCTTCCTTTGAGGCTTGATTCCCATTGCAGTATTAGACACTTTTCACATCTTTACTCTTGCTTCTTAGAATCTAAAAATAATACTTGCCTCACAAGGGATACTAATGAGGCAATATTTCCAGTTTATTTTTTAAATGTGCTAGTATTAATGAGAAATTATAATTATCCCAGTACCAGCTGGCATTTCTCTTCATACTAAAATGTTCCTTTTGAACAAGAGAGGAAACAAAATGCACTGTGACTTCACTTTCAGAGTTATGTTAAAATAAAGTGTGGCAGAGAAAGTATATCTGGAAAATTATGGTTGCTTTTGGGTTTTTCCTGAATAAATTACTTCAGCAAAACTTCATCAGCCTTCTATTGTTTTGTTGAGCAAATGCTATATGTCTCTGAAAAGCAGAGCAGTTTTCCTGCTGCCTTAAAAACAAAATACATTTCATAAATTCTACATTTGCAACAGGCACAGTTAAATGTGAAAGTTTCAATGTCTGCATTTCTGAGCTGCTAAAGATGGCCAGTACCAACTAAGCTTTGCCCTTCACTGTCAGGAGTGTTTTATGAACCCACTTCTGACAAACTGCTTGAAATACACTAATAATAAATGGAAAAACAAATGTGAATAAAATTCCATGCACATGGTTGAGTTTTGCCCATCCTGAGTCCATGGGAGCATTTTTATCACTGGGAGGCAAGGTTCTGAAGGAAATACTTCCTTGGCAATGGGATGATGGCATTTTTTCCTGTAACAGCAGCATGTACATTTGCAGGACCAGGTTACCTGTATTTATAAAACAGACAAGCAGCTGTGAGCAGCTACAAAAGGCTCGTTCCCTTTCCTGCCATGCCATCAAGGGGAGCTCAGGTCCTAATGTGGCTTCCTTACTCTTATTTTATTTACATAATGCTTGCAGCATAAGCATTAGGCATCGCTGAGCAGAGCCAGCATTAATTCAGAATTCAAATAGAGAACAGGGATATTTCCAGGATAATAAGATTGAATATATTGAAGCCAGAGCTGGTGCAGTAAAACATTGATTTGCTGTAAACAGTTTAATGTAACCCCTTCCAGCTGCATTAATATGTCTGCAGCATGTACATCCGTGTGAAAATGATGAATGTCTCCTTGCAGCTCAGTGAGTATCAGTGCAGCAGGTACGTTCCTCCTAAGTGCACTGTGTGGTTATAAATATTGTGTGCAATCATTTGTACATTAGAAAACATTTAGCATTGGCTGAACTTTTATGTGGGAGGGTTATGCATGTGTGGTAAGGCTGGTCTTTCTCCTAGCTTCATTTTTGATCAGCCACTGACTAGTTTTGCATTCCTTTTTACACAGAAAAAAAAATCCTGACTGTATAATTTGTAACATCATCCCCACTGCAATCACCATTCATTGCAGAACCTCCTCACCTTTCCTTGTGTTTTTTAAACCTTACATAGGATGAATCCATGTAAGCTGTTATGAATCCATGAAGCTTTCAATGGAACTTACCTAGTTTTGCTAACTCCTGTCCAGCCAGGCTGCTACTCTTCTTTTCAATCAATGTTTTTCCTTCCTGTGCTACTAAAAATAAGCTTTCCTTTGATTTGGATCAACATGTGATTTACATGATTTTCATACATGTGATTTACCTGTGGCAGCAGAACTGTTTCTTTCTGAATCTTTACCAAACATATTTTCTGTATCTGCAGAATCTGAAGGTCTCACTCACTTTAGGGTAATAACATAATTTTATTAACTTTTGTTTAGTCACAAACATCTCGGACATCTAGCTTTCTGAGGGAGAATGTGCAAAATAACATTGCTGTAACTTGGTGTGGGAGACCTTGCCAGAATTAATCATACTCCAAGGATCAGCAGAAACATGTGAATACCAAGTAAATTGGCAGGTGCCACAATGTGTGTTTGTGGTGCTTGATTGTACTGGGGTATTGCTACACACAAACACTGTGTCAAAATGCAAATATTAGAGCATGGTGGGATGCAGTGGCCACACCAGGTAAGTTTGTGGCCCTCTGAAGTGGAAAATGATGGTGGTATTGGTGAATTCTTTATTCCCCTCCTGCTTCCTTAGCTGTTTGAAGAGGATGACCAGTGACCCTAAAAAAGTTCCTACTGTGTTTCATATGCCTACAAAATATTTCCTTTCTCCTCTGGTCACACCCCTGCCAGTCCTGATTCCCTGAGTGAAGCCCCAGCAATGCATAAAGTGAGGGTGGCCGTGCCATGGATAATTTATCATCCCTGGTTCCTAATTATCAGTGTCACACTGTCCTTTCAGCATTTAATGCCTGGTAACCATACAGATTTTATTTCTGTAGGTTATACTGTCCATTGAAGAGGGCTACAGGCTTCCAGCTCCCATGGGCTGCCCAGCTTCTCTTCACCAGCTCATGCTTCACTGCTGGCAAAAGGAGAGGAACCACCGTCCCAAATTCAGTGACATTGTCAGCTTCCTGGACAAGCTGATCCGCAACCCCAGCACCCTTCACACCCTAGTGGAGGATGTCCTTGTGTAAGACCCTTTTGGTACATTCTGTTTTTTCATAACACATAGTGGCTATCATTATGTGGTTTAGGGCATTAAGTAGGGGTAGGAGAACCACAAAGTTATGAGTTTATAAAGTCATGCAGGTTCAAATAATTTTAAGC